GCAAAAAAGTCCAGTTTCAAAATGACCTAATACAATAATATTTGCTGTAGGAGTAAGTCGCTTATAGTCAACGCCAAACAAAGTGGCGTGCACGTCATCACGATAAAAATTCCCCGACCTAATGCCTAGGTTTCTATCACAAACAATTGCTCTATTGCAGTTTCATATTAATGTGATATATAAATTGTAAAATGGTCATTACTCTCTTATTATGGTTAATAGTCATATAAACATTGTTATTATTATATCACATAAGTTGCTTTCTGATAAATTTAGACGCATTATGCGAAATAAAATGTTTTGCAAACGCTCCAATCACTTATCGACATGTAAACGCACTAAACCGATTTCGCAGCGTTGACACATTGTCACCTTGAAACTTATTTAAACTGGGAACTGACATTTGTATTAATTTTGACACTGAATCAATTTGTGGCATTTCAAATCTTTATAAATCCTTTGGCCCCGCATACTGTAAATCAACAACTGTTTGTTTCAAAACAAAATTATTCATTTTACGAGTAGATAAAGGCAATTTTGGTATATAAAGATGCCCAAACAGTTAAATAGTCGGTGTAAGGAACTCGTGGCCTCGTTAATGCACTACTTTGAGCAAGAAAGGGACAACAACGGGCCTTTGTTGCCTTTAAATGCTGTTCAAGAGGTAGGTTACTAATAATTATATGTAATTTATATTAATAATAGTGAAATTTTATTTCATTTTTTGTAGCGTGTTGCTGCTGCTTTAAAAATTACTTTAAGGACAGTTAGTCGTATTTCCGAGGGTGTGAAAAGTGATGCAAATTTAGAATCGCCCAAGAAAAAGCGGAATTATATTAAACGTGTAACCAACACAGCGACATTGGATACAAGTGCCATTCGAGAAGTGATCTATAATATGTATCACAAAAGTAAGATCTTATTATAATAACTTATCAGAAATTTGCATTAATTTGTTAACTAAATTATAATGTCATATTACACATGGTTTCAGAAGAACAAGTTACGATACAAACTTTATGGTCCCGATTAAGAGATAGGGCATTATTTGATGGTAGTGCCACGTCTTTAAGGCGGTTGCTTAGAGATCTTGGATTTAAGTGGCTTAAGGACAATCCGCGACGAGGGCTCATGGAACTACCAAGTATAGCTTTGAAAAGGGTGGAATTTCTAAGGCAATACAATCAAGCCAAGGTTGAGGCCTTATACCAGTTTGTCTTCCTCGATGAAACTTGGATATTTCAAAATGGGACCATAGGTCGCTCTTGGCGAAATGGAAACCAAAAAAGCGTAAAAGCTATTAAAACAGATGGTAAAAGGTATGTACTTTTACACAATTTGCACTATAAAATTTAAAACTAATATATTTTAGATACATTATATTACATGCTGGAAATGAAAATGGGTTTATTGAGGGTAGTGAAGCGATATTTTATTCGAAAACAAAATTGAGCGATTACCCTGGAGAGATGAACCAGGACAATTTTTTGAAATGGTTTCAACATCAGTTATTAGAAAAATTGGAGAGTCCATCTAAATATTATACTGGATAACGCCCCTTATCACAGCATGATATTGAACAAAGTGCCCAACAACGCATGGACAAAAAAAAATATCCAAGACTGGTTGTCAAATCAAAACATACCATTTTTAAACACAATGTTTAAAACAGAGCTATTGAGCATTGTTGCTCGGTACATAATGCTTCTTAATTATATATATTTTTGTCGACAGTTTATATTTCTTTTGTTTATTCCTATTCTTAAAATAACTGCTTTTTTAGAAACAAACCACCTAAAATATACGTGATTGATGAATTGGCGGAACAACATGGGCACAAAGTTCTTCGTCTGCCTCCTTACCATTGTATATTTAACCCTATTGAGTTAATTTGGGGCATAGCAAAAGGTTACTATAACAGACATACTGGTAGAGATGGTAACAGTGAAAAAGACTGTTTGGATATGTGGAACGAGGCTCTACAAACGGTTACCCCAGACATGTGGAAAAATAGTGTTCGACATACTGAGTAAGAAATTTTTAAATGGTATGAAAGAGAACGAATTTTTGATCGACCAGACATCGAACCTTTAATAATCAACTTTGAGAGTGATGAAGATTCAGATTCAGACAGCGCTGAAGAAAGAAACTCCGACTAACTTTATTGTACAGAAAAAGCTTACACCAGTAGCTTACCTAATTTTAGAATGCATTTTTCTGTATGAATTCTGTAAAATAAATACCATGCATAAAATTTGGAGGACCCCATTTGGATTTTTATTCAGTACCTTTAAACTATCAATTAAATATGGTAGTTTCATAGTGTCATCTGATCAATAATTGTCATACTTAATGATTATGCAAGTACAGATCTATAATTTTATTATACTATTATTTTTGTTCTCATTTGAGGTTAATATTGCTTATAAACCTAGATATGTAAATAATAAATTTTATTATTTCACAAAAAGTTCGGCAACAATGTAAATTATTCAACACACCCACCTTGATGACGTGCACGCCACTTTGTTTGGCGTTGACTATATATCTAGTTTTCGAATGGCAGCTCAACAATGATTTTTTATTCAAGAAAATTGTGAGCTTTGAGCGTTATAACCTGTTACCTGTACATGGACATTAACTAAGTCTCTAATTCAGCAACAATTTCTAACAATTATTCATTATCCACAAAATGCTTATTTGGCTTTTTTCTCTTTCAGCAACGCAATTCAATACTTACGTAACGTTGAAGTTACAAAACGTCAAATCTACGACTGTGACTGTAAAGGGAGCAACACCGTGTTGGGAGCAAGATTTTTTATTGTAAGTATGACCAAAAACTCATGTATTTACGTATTGAAGCACAATGTTTGCCATTAAACCTGATTATCTAAGAAAAGGCCAAAATAATTATTGTTCCAGTTTGTGCGGTATTTCATTTTTATCGGAATGGAGTGAGTACTCATCAACACCTCTTATTGAAAAAGTAGTGCCGGGATAAGGTGTTGTATATCCCGAAGGCGCAAATTTATACTTTGATGTATTCGTCCACTCCTAGGAGTTACAGTACTATCCAAGTGTTGAGTCACAACACGCAGAACTGCATTGCTCACATTATCCTGGAAATTTTCCAGAATATCTAGAAATACGAAGAAAACATGATTTGTCATCAGCAGCATTATTTCGATCGCTGCACTTTTTTTCCTGTAATCAAACTCAACACGAAGAAGGCACTGACTGATATCTCACTTTTGAAGAGGGATGTCCAAGTCGCGCGATTTGAGGTTCCTGGCTGCGTACGTAAGATTGCACATCTCGCAGGGAAAAATGTGAGGAATGCAGTTAGGTTGATTTTGACTTCACACATAGATAGTATTGACAACAAATAGACGTCGAAATGTGACAGAAAAGCTGCTTAATGCGACTGCATATAATCAAAATATAGAAATCACGAATGAGCGCCTTCAGATATGTGATATTGGGGAGTACTCCCTCCAAGCCAAGTCTCATTCCGGTACAAAAATGTCAGTGATAATGTTGATTTACGAGTGCTTTTGACTTGAATTGGCTGATCTTATGACCGGCCTGACCATCAAGTTAAATATGCTACGTTTGAAATTTAAATACCATATCTTGATGATCCTCGAAGTACGGTTTATTCTTACCAAATACACCTATCATTTTGCCTCCACATTTTTTAATTGATAGGGCATGGCAAAGGTTGAGAGAAGTAAAACTACACGGCAAGCAACATGCGGAAAAGATATCTCATGAAACCATTATAATTTTAATAAGATTTGCATTAACAACTCAACGTTCATACTTTGTATTTGATCTAGCCAAAACGGAAACTTTATAAAAATGTAGCTGCATTGTAGTTACTTGTCCCAGGACACAACTTATGCCATATACTAGGTATTAAGTGAATCATCCCTCCCAAAACTTACTTAGGTAACAAGGTATTTGCATATGTATAGAAACTTCACTGCTTGCTGTGAGTTAGCAAGAAAAATCTTCCCTTCAAACTTCTAAACTGGCTGCAAGTTCAGTTGAGCGGTATTAATCTGGGCACCAACTTCCATCAGTTAGTAAGTAGTTGCCGTTAGTTTTCTATGGGCTATACATACAAACTCAGTGATTTCGTTCGGCTCTGATTACGCAAATTTGCATGTCGCAGCCAACAACATAATAAATAATATATTATGTTATATGCCTTTAGGTAAAGTAATAGAATTGAAATCGTTGATCACAGAAGTACTATCTGTGTTGCGATCTGAATCGCTCGGTTATCGTTGACACGTACAGATAAATTGAATAAGGCCAAGAAATAAAAGTAAGTACTTATTAACGGTGCAATATATGAACAAATCAGCTTAATTCGGGATTTTGAAGGTGAATAACACAGAAAGTTATCTTCATCAAACAGCAGTATCGGCGGAATATATGATATTTGAAATAGTGGAAGGAGTTGCTTGAACTCCACCTGGTTTTTCTAAATAGCTGTTGTGAACCTGGCAGATTCCTGGCTAAAACCAAATATCTAGTTGAACATAATACGCTTATTTCATTCGATCTGGAAGTAAATTAATTTGATATCCCTTAGACTTTTTGGAGGTAGGCTGAGCGCCCTCAACAGAGTCTTCTGGTACTAAAACGAGAAACCGTAACGTTTTCCATCAATAATTTTTATTTATCTCCAATATTTTGCATTTTCGGCATTATGTTAGGTATAAACTTGTTAACAAATCCTAGATTGGGACTGAGCTCTCAAAGAAACAAGATGCAAAATTTCCCCAAAACTGTTCCGGAAAGGCCCAATAATGAGGTACATACCATCTCACAATATCGATGACTATAATATATTAATATTTATCGATAAAAAGATCTGCTCTTATTCAGTTCAATTATTTATACGAGTATACAAAAACATCCTCCATTTTTTTCGAAGAACAAAACAAATCCAGACTACTCACTACTAACTTTTGGTTCAGAACAAATCGCACGCTAGCTTCACCTAGTCCGAATTCGTTGTTTGGGATATACATAACTGTAATTTTTAACTTTTCTCTTCGGTAATGAGCGGTAGTAGCAGACCTAGTATATTAGTAATAAATAATAAGTAGGCTATGATAGGATTCAATGACAGATATTGTCTAGTGAATAAAGTGTTACTAAAAGCAACAAGAAGATGCAGACTGATCATTCCAAGGAATATCTCGAGTAGAATTTTGACTGATACAAGGCTGCCAGAAAAATTGTATTAGAGACCACGGAGCTCAGATTTTGTTGACAGAGACATTCCAGTACTTCAAAAAAAAATATATTCTTGGGAAAATAGAAAAGAACTTCTTGCTGTATTGCAGGTATTATAACGTGCGATATCATTCCTCTATTTCTACCTATGGCCAATTATTCGTAGCATCGATCGGAGAGACAGGCCGAATAAAAGAAACAAATACACTGAGGCTATGGTCAACTTTAAAAACATGCCACGAATGTATCAAATGTATCAGAACCACCTCCGTTGAGATCAAGGATTACTGCAGCAGCAATCAGACCTTTCTCGTATGCTACAATGATCTGATTGAGTATTAAGGTGCTACGTCAATTGATGCTGCTCAAAAGTCCATTGTGATTCAAAAATATTGTGCCCTACGATGAAGATAAAATTTCAGTAATACTTCTTGGACCCTTGGGCTGCATTTATATTGTATACTAAATTTCTGTCAAACCACATTCTATATATGTATCCAAAAGCACATGCTTCCATTTATTTTTATCGTCTTCCACAATTTATATTATTCTTCGTTCTACAATATACAGAGTGTCCCAGAAATAACACCCTAGAGTTACACGGGAGGTAGGCTGGCTTCAGATCAAACAGATACAAGCCAATACCTTAGTTAAAGTTTTCTAGTTTTCGAGATATTGCCACTTTTAAGTTTTTCAAAAAATCACTACTTTTATTATCTTTTTTACCCGTTATGGCTATAAAGAAATCCTAACTTATTAGTTTTTTCCTGGGCCAGAATTAATAGTTGGTTGAGACAACGGGGTATTCAATTTGAAGACTAGCACGGTGTGATAAAAAAACACAAATTACTACATTTCGTTTCAATGCGAAAGCCTTGACTAATTACTGTGGAAAAAATGTACCTGACTAAATCAGCAAATGAAGTAAAATAGCACAGCTTTTTATTTTATCAAATATCTAAAACAGCTATCCATTATCCTTTTTATTCATTGTTGTATGCAGGCTTCAAAATAATGAACAGGTCATTAGGATGTATTTTCCTTATTTTCATTGATTTTTACAACATTCAAGTCAAGTCATTATTGTCATCTTAAATTAACTAAACGAAAATTAACATCCTGCAATGTAAATATTGCTTAAAATAAATGATTATTATTATCATTGTTATCATTATTCTTACAACGCTTTTGCAGAAGGTCTACCACAAACTCAAATCGGATAATTTGTGTGCTGCTTGACGGATTCGATGACGCAGTTCATCTGTAACAACGTCCTCCTTCTTGTCTCAAGAGGCACATCTTCTAAAAGAATGGGTAGATAATGTTGCAAAAAACTAAGTAAACAGAAGTTTTTAAGATCATAAGCCAATTCAGTCTGGTACATCTTTTCACAGTAATTAATCAAACTTTAGTAAAGATTTTGACATTGACACAAGATGTAATATTTTTTTAGCATACCGTGCTAGTTTTCTATGAAATGAATAGTCTGTTGTCTCAACCAACTATTAATCGTAGCCCAGGAGAAACAGTTAGAAGTTCTTTATAGCCGTAACAGGCAAAAAAGGAGCACTCCCGTGTCACCGTGGTGTGTTATTTCTAGGACAGCTTGCCGATTCATGTCATCCTTACATTTTACTTCACCCTTCTTTGCTAATCCGATTTGACTTTAAGATGAAATTCTGTAATTTTTCAGTATTCAGTTTGCTTGGCTACTAGCCATCAGGTCAGTCAACTTGTCCTCTTGATGCTAACCTATTAATGCATATGTATATATCTCTTTATAGCTAGCATGCAATAAAGACTTGTTTTTTTGCCAGTGAAACTAACGACTTGAAGACTGGGCTGCTGATAGAGGTATGGAACAAAGGTATGATTTGGGATAGAGCACTTGGATATCATTGGATACCACTCCACACCGTGCACTATTCAAATGAGGTAAGTTTTCAATCAAGAGTTTGTAAAAACGAAAACAGTTTAAACATAGTTATATTACGTTCGCATGAACAATCGGTTTTACTGCTCTAAGCAGACTACTCATAGCTATTAAATTCCTCCAACAATGGCCTGAAACTGACGTCGCTACTTCTATATCAAAAGAAAATGACACTGATTGCGTTAGCTTCCAATAAGTATATTGTAACTGCGATAGCTTCGTTAATAGAAGAAAGACCACTAGTTCCTCAAACGAGTGGGCGAGATGTATTTTTGTATCAAAGGTAATGCGATGAAATGAAATAATTGCTAATTACTGTATTGTGATACTGCTAGTTTCATTTAGATATCCACAGATTATATCAGTTAACCAAATAAGTTCTGCAGTTTTTAGTTTTTATTGAGAAACGATAAGACTCTATTTATTCGTCGAAGTAAATACCATCACATTCAATGACCTTTTGCCAACGTAGAACAAATTTTTGTATGCCGGTATTGTAGAACTCATCGGATTTGGAGTAAACAAATTGGCGGACTGCATTTATTACACCATCTCGAGTTGTGAACTGTCGCTGCCTCATACAGTTGTCAAGAGACAAAAAAGGGCATAATTACTGGGCGAAATGTCGAAGGAATATAGCGGGTGCGGTAACGTTTCCCAGCCGAGTTCAGAATTTTTTTCTCGGGTCACTTTTGCGGTATGAGGCTTGGCGTTATCCTGCAAGAATATCACTTTCTTCCGATTGATCGAAGAAGCCTGCTTCTGGATGAGAGCTGCTTACAATACAAGTTAGCAGTGATGGTTTGACCCCTTTCCAAAAACTCATGATGGACAATTCCAGTTGCTGTCCAACAAACACACAACAAAACCTTGTTTGGGGGCAAGGAAGCCTTGGGCGTGTGCGGTACCGAATCAGTAGGCGGCAACCAATGATACGAACGCTTAGAATTCGAATGCAAGATCCATTTATCGTCGCAGGTTAATAACCGATTAGGAAATGGTTCATTAGCGTTGCGTGGAATGTTTGCTGAACAAATGGCAAGACGACTTAATTTGTTATCATTTGTCAGTTCATGTGGGACCCATTTGCTTAACTTCCACATCTTTCCTAGCTGATGAAGATGCAATCGAATAGTTTCAGGACTCACTCTGAACATTTCTGCAAGTTCTTGGCACGTAGTCTTGGAATTTGCGTCCCCAACCTGTCAAAGATCCTCGTTGTTCATGGTTTTTGGTCTCCCTGGGCGCGGTTCACCACTCAAACTGAGATCTCCCGAAAAAAAATTTTTGACCCACTTCTATGCTGTTTGACCACTAACGGTATCTCCGAGTGCGGTACATATTTTTCGCGCCGCCGCTGCAGCTTTTGTACCAAGTTTGTACTCTTACAGTAAACAACTTCGAATTACTGTTTTATTCGTCGCCATTTTCAATTATTAAAACTATGTACGTAACAACCTTCAGCAACTTTTTATGTGTGTGAGAAAAGAAGGATTCATACTAAAGTGACAACAGGTAACAAACAATCGCTATCGATCAACAACATCCATGGCAATGTGCGATATACAGCAACCGCATGAACTTATTTGGTTACCTGGTATACGTCAGGCACCCTGATTCTGAATTATTCTGCGATTCTTTGTGGTAGTTACCAGTTTGCTATTGTCATGTGTTTTATTTATCACTTTCTAATATTGGACGCTATGAGTCATCACTTCACAGAAGATATCCACAGATCATTCCATTAATAATATACATGAGACTCAAAAATAATACGATTTATTGGTGTTGTTTCCAGTTGCTGTAGTATGATAGCTTCATTCATTACTGTTTCATTGATATTATTTGTATATATGGAATTCCACCTACCCATAAGCCATCGAGCAAGACAATTATTCAATCTTTTTAACAAAGTAAAAAGTATCCTGACCCTCTACTTATTGATTTTCGTAACATTGATAATTTTTTCACGTGAACAGCTGCACGCTTGAATGGACCATACTATATATTTTTGTGACGATGTTTACAGAATGAGAAATCTAGTAAGCCTGTGACGTGGATATAAAAACTTTAATATTGTTCCGTGGACGGGTAGATTGGATTAAATTGGATTGTGTGCTTATCTATATAGCAGCCATTACAAGTTGTGGTGGATGTTATTAAGTGCGAATGCCTGGTAGAAAACGATGTTTTCATTAAAACGTGTCTGGATGAAGCCAACAATAGCATCCTCGCTACACAACTCTTATAATATACTACTGTCGTTAGGTTTATTAAGTGACTCACAGTACTTGACAACTGGTTATAAAGCTACTGAATATATGATAGGCGTTCGATTTTTCAAATAAAATTAGAAAACACGTGGATAGCTTTCAGGAAGGTCATTAAACATGTTTTACGATTTAAGGGGGTTCCAATTTATACGCTGCAAACTGTACGAAATAATTCATTTACGTCAGTGCTATCCTGCACTAAATTTGAAAAGAGTAGCGTAATGTATCGTAAGCCACGGATCAAGGCGATGCCGATGTGTATGTATCCAGAGTGAGATTCGCATACAAATACACACTTTTGACCCACTACGTTGACAATACATATTGCTTTCTTTTCACACAAACATTTGTAGATCTAAAAGAGCGCTATTGAAAATTGGATAATGTTGGCCTTGGAATGGTATCCGGTTCTTAAAAGCAACTAGTCGTACAAATACAGCAGCGGAATGCGACACTCTCATCCAAACTATGTATAAACGCCACTTCAGTAAGCATATTAAAAATTTCACTGAAAAGGCTTCATTAATACTTCTATTACAGTACACGTTAAAGCTGGATTGCGATAAGTACAAAGTTAATAATGTGTAAAAGGGTTTCACAGGAAAGTATTCCATCACGGATGCTGATTGATGCTAGTAGCATGCATAATGCAGCTGTTACTGAGAAAGTACTGATCTATTCCTAACTCTTCATTTATACTTAGCAAATTATGCCAAAGAGACAGTCTTGCCAAAACTAAAAGGTGGAAGCAAGTATATGGAAATTCAAGTAAGCTATTGTCAGAAAATGCTAGCTGGAAACACGAATAACAAATACTTAGTTGGATGAAGTCAAATAGACCCACGCGATTAGTCTATTAAAAGACTGCCCTGCCGTACCGACAGTACCGGCCATCTGGCAACGTTGCTATAATTAATCTCGTCGGTGGTCGCTTACCAGTCACGACACCGCTAACTACGAAACACAGACATCTACAGTATATTCAGATAAGAGATAGACCGGACATAAACAAGACCACGTGATCATCGAATGCTGTAACATTCGGCAGGGACGTATTAAGAGTCACGCAGTACATATTTTAGATAGTAGATGCTGCTTTGCGTAACTTTGTAGTAAATTAGCACAATTCGATGTGTATACGATTGGTGATGGTTATAGGATCATGTGGGGGTGGGGTAAGAAATATATAATGATATAAATATACATAAGGGTTTCAAAATTTTCGCTTCGATTTCCAGCTTCGGATGCCGCCTGATGTTTGGTGAAATACAGTCGAATATAATCTCAAAATGGCGTTTAAATTAGCCTAAATTAAAAATAATCGTATATCTCTTAAAATTGCTTTTAGAATATTGATTAGTATATTTTTTGATTTCTAGGTAAATATGTAACCAAATTAAAACGTTCAAAACGTAAAAAAATGTGCATGGTTGAATATTGTCAGAAAGTAGATTCTTGAATAGGTTTTGCCAAAATGGGTTCAAAAATGTCAATAATTAATTAAAAAATACAGTAGCTTTATAATTACTTATAACTTACCGAATTTGATGAACGGCATCTTTTATTGGAAAGATGAGGTTGATGAGCTTTCATCATCGCTACTGCCTGAAGCACCAACGTCAATAATGAATGGCTCGACTTATTCCTCTAAAATATTGTCCAGTTCCCACATTCTCTTTTCAACTTTGTCTTTCACGTGCTTAATACAGTTTTCCCATTTTTGCGCTGTTATTAATTCTAGTGCTTCTTTGAAAAGTCCTTTGAGGTCACAAAATTTAACAGTTGTATTGTGCTTAGCTATATAATTTTTAACCTCTGCCCATATGAGCTCAATGGGATTGAGCTCGCAATGGTATGGAGGTAAACGGAGAACAGTTTTATTTTGACTTGCTGCCATTTCGTCAATGGCGTATTTTTGATATTCCGCCTTGTGATCCTTGACAATTCTTAATAATTGTACTTTCAGTATTGCTTCTTCACAGTTAATATTTTTCGAGCGGAGCCAACTTTGAACATCAACTTTCCTTGAAGCCGTTGTTGGGACCTTCTCCATTCTTCGAGAATGATAAGGCGCATTATCCAACACAATTACTGCGTTTTCCTCTAAGTTCAGTAAAATTTTTGAAAACCACTGTTCAAACGATTCGCCATTCATTTCCTCGTGGTAATCTCCAGTTTTCTTAGACTCAAAGCACCACAGACCGTCAACAACAAATCCATCCTAACTGCCAATATGGCAGATAATGAGCCTTTTCCCTTTACCTGGAAATCGAAGTACTAACTGGTGTAGATTTATTTCAATAAGCGAACCTTTTTCAAATGTTTTCATCACATTCAGCGAAAAAACATTGAGACATGAGTATCAGATTGCTATAATTGAGATTATTTAGTCATATTGAAAGAAAGAATATTGAACGTCGTATGATTACTCAGCGCTTCACAATTTAATTTAAAGTTATAAACCTTTAAAAAATGAATGATCAGGAACCTGAAATACGCGCAAATATTAATATTAACAAATTATAACTTTATAAAGCTTAAAGTATGAATTAAAATGATTAGAAATATTAGGAACGGTACACAATATAAAACTTAGTAACTTTTTTTAAGTTTGTAATATTCGACATATTTTAAGATTATATTAAAAAATTATTGAAATATCGAAAACACATAAAAACATGGCTTAAAAAAGTTCTAACAAATGAAAATGACAATAAAACATCCACGTA